TGGTTGTGTAACAGAATGTGCAGAGGATCGAGGTTGTTGTTTCTGTTGCGGTGGACGTTCATGTAGAGCATAACAATGAGATTTGATGTGACCATTTTTTCCGCAATGGTCACACCGTCCACGTCGTCGTCCCAGAGGAGGACCGGTGGTAGTGCTCTGAACTGATTGGGATGGTGAAGTTCTTGAAAGGTTGGGAACCCGAACTGCCATAGCAGAACGATCAACAAAAGCAACACCTAATGGATTAGTCCGGCGGCTCTCATCTGACAACCCATAGGAGTATGCATCCTCAAGAGTAGGGAATGAAGATAAGCCCAATAAATGAACACGAGCATACTCAAACTCGTCGTTTAACCCGGCAAGAAACTAAAACACTCGATTCTTCTCCACAATTCCTGCATATAAAACTGCATCATCTAGATCCTTCCAAGACTGGAAGGAATCATAATATGACATCTCCTCCCAAATAGCACGAAGCTTGGCGATGTAACCTGAAACTGTCAAGTCACCCTGAGAAATCCTGGTGATATCTCGCCCCAGTTGGAAAATTCGTGCATTATTCTGCCTCTGAGAATAAGTGCGTTGAACTGAATCCCAAATCTGCTTAGCAGTCTTCATAAACATATAGCCAACAACTTTGTTTGGTTGCATCGAATTGACTAGCCAAGACATAATCATAGCGTTATCTGCAAACCACTGTGGATATGCCTTCTCTGACTCAGCTAGGTCTTTCTTAGAACCAGTAATATAGCCAATCTTGCCTTTGCCACCAATGAACATCTTGGCAGACTGTGCCCAAATTAAATAGTTGGAACCATCCAACTTCACTGTGGTGATTTGAAGTCCTACATTTTCTGATGAGTTGGTGGGAAAAATGGTACCACCACCCACAGAACGTGAGCCAAGAGAATTAACAGTCGAGGACCCTAAATCTGCCATAATTTGTCACTCGACAATAAAAAACTCCAAAAACACCAGAAATTCTGTTAATAAATCAAAGGGTCTCCTCAGACCATAAACAATAACAATGTCTCCTCAGACCATTCCCGAAAAATCCAAATACATACCCTTTTTAAGGAGCGCTGCTCGCTTACATATAGCCAAACAGCCTCTTTCTTAATATCTAGAACCTCTTTGTAGACTAATTTTTTTTTTTTTACCCAAGTCCTTCTAGTTGTTGGAAACCAACTATCCCAATTTACCCAACCCTAGAAGAGTGAAATACCTGTTTTAGATCACAAAACAGCAACATAGAAAAACATGTGTCGGCAACGTCACACGATGTCACAAACAGCCTAAGGTAGCTGTCGCACAAGTCACAAGGCTGTTGAAAGGTGTGGAAAGGTGTTGGCTCAGATACCAAATAGAAATATATAAAAAGAAGAGAAAGGAGAGAATTGCGTAAAGGCTTGAATGATATATATTACTCATTCACAGCTCTAGTATTTATAGATAAAATGAGCACATGCTCATATTACAAGAAAGGAAACTAAATCAAATCAAAATCAAATCACAACTTATTCTAAAGCATATTCTATGGCATATTCTATAGCATAGTCAAATCTCTGCTATTATAGTAAGTTATGCCATAAATCGTGGTATCATATATGCTAACAGTTTACAATGAGCACCAATAGGTGAAAGAACAAAGCGATAAATATGGAAAATACATAGCCATCTTTTGGAGTTCATATACGACATCTATTCTCACTAGCCATTTGATGTTATATGTGGCTCACTTCTGAAATGATGTAATGAGGCCTTGTAAGCCATTTCCATCTATGTACGTATGCTATATCCATGATTTCATATCCCTCTCATTGTTTAATTTACACATACTGACCTTGTTGGATCACTTGACCATGCCATGATATTGTTTAGAGTTGATTAGACTCAGTTTTGAGTCTCTTGGACATGCATGAATGTGACTTAGGTAAGCCATTGGACATAGGCCTCGAGGAAGGATCATTTTTCTAATGCACCGGGTTCCTAAAATTCGGGGCATGACAGCTATCATCCTCTCTCTGGTGGTATCCACACTTCTTCATGGCCTTAGTAAACCTGCCAAACCAATCTATAGGTGATTGCTTAAGTCCATACAAGGATTTCCTCAATTTGCATACCTTACCTCTTTTAGAGGGATCAGCAAAGCCAGGAGGAAAGTCCATGTATCCTTCTTCCTCTAGATCTCCGTGAAGAAATGCACTATTCACATCAAACTGCTGAAGAGGCCATTCCAGGTTTGCAGCCAAGGATAAGAGGACCCTGATATTGTTTATCTTCGCCATCGGTGTAAATGCTTCTGATAATCTATCCCATAGGTCTGGGTGTAGCCTCTAGTTACCAATCTTGCCTTCTGCTTCATTGTGAATTCCTACTTGGAACCATCTTCTTTTCCTCTGGTAGCTCAACTAGTTCCCATGTAGAATTTTTTTTTGTAAAGCTTCCATTCTTCAATCATGGCAGCTTTCCACTTTGGGTTGTCAAGAGCTTCTTGTAACCTATCAGGGACACACGCAGAGGACAACTGGTTTGCAAATATTTATAAGATGAAGATAAATGATGTGAAGACACATAATGAGAGATGAGATATTTTACAATCGGAAAGCCATAATGAGAGGGAGGTTTCTTTCCTGAGGGGGATAGCGAGTCTGATTCTCAAGAAGAAACTGAGTATCATCACGTGATTGATCAAGTTCATCAATAGGTAACTGAGTTGACTCATCAATAGGAGTATCAATAACTAACTGAGTATCATCACATGACTGATCAAGGTGATCAATAGGTAACTAAGTTGACTCATCAATAGCAATATCAATAGAGAGTTTAGAAGAAGGAACTACCTTAGGATTTCCTGGTCATTGGGCTGATCAAGAGGTGGCTGAGGTGTTTGTGTCTTCTCCCTTCTTGAGTATACCAATCTGTATGGCTCAAGGAATTCCTTCGAAGTCGGTACAAAAGTTCCAGCTGATGATGGATACGCTGGTTAAAGGTACTGGTAGCACATCCTAAGACTTCTTTTCATTTCCCAAATTCTCCCCCAGAAGAGAAGCGTCTGAATCTCCCCCTGAATAGTAATCCTAATCTTGAACAAAAGCAATATCCATGGAAACAATCATCTTCGCTGAAGGAGGGTCATAGCATTTGTATCTATGGAAACATGGAGTGCTCTCAGATCAAACTTACTAAGGTGTTGTCTATGAATATAAGCATAACAGGCATAACAAAACACTTTGAGTGGGATGTGAGGAAGAGTTGGAATAGAGTGTGTTTTGGACAGGGACTGAAGAGGGGTCTGGAACTGAAGAACTTTTGAAGGTATTTTATTAATGAGATATGCTGTTGTTGGTAGGACATCTCCCTTGAAGGAATTAGGAACATTCATAGCAAAGAGTAATAATCTAGCAACCTCTCAGAGATGGCGAGGCTTGCGCTTGCCTACAACATTTTGCTGGGCTGTATCTACACGCGAAGTTTGACAAATGATGCCATGAGCCTGAAAATAGACACTAAGACCCTTCTTAAACTACTCCCCTCCATTATCTATTTTCTTTGAACGGATAGATCCACAAAAGACGAGTGCAGTCATAAATGAAAGAAACAAACCATTTAGAACCTGAATGATCAGGAACACGGGATGGCCACCACACATCACTGTGAATAATTGAGAAAGGCACATAACTTCTATTAAAACTTTAAGGAAAAGAAGTTTGATGGTGTTGGTTAACACACAACTATCACAAAGAAAATTAGAAACATCAACTCTGGAAAATAAAGATGGGAACAACTTATGCAAATCGCTAAATGAGGGGTGTCCTAATCTTTTGTTCCATAACCAATTCTGTTTTTCTGATGTTGACCTGCCAACTACTTGATTTGCTTTTCCATCTGGAGCTCAATTCATATCCAAGTAGTACAGACCATATCTTTCTCTACCAAGACCAATCTTCACTCCCGTAAGAAAATCCTGAAAGACACGATGAACATCAAAGAATGTTACGGAACATTTAGAGCCTTAGTAATTTGACTAATGGACACTAGATTACAACACAAACATGGAACAAGAAAGACAGTACATAGGAGAAGTTAGAGGAATGAAACCTTCCCCAGACACAATAGAAGCAGACCTGTATGCTGTTTTAACCCTCTTTGTACTATGATGAGTGCTATAAGTAGAAAAAAAAAAAAAAAAAAACTAGATTCATATGTTATATGATCAGTAGTACCTAAATTTATAATCCAAGATGACTTATCACGACTAGAAGTGCTCAAGGCTAATCCAAAGTTACCTGTATTGGCTGAGTTACAGGAAGCATCTTTTGAGGATAGCTTCTGAGCATACTCCATCATTTGGTCTACCTGGGTCTGAGAATACTGGCTGGCCAGAACCAGAAAATTTATAGCTAACCTCAGACATGTTTTCGTGTCTAAAGTGTGAAGAATCGTGGCTGGATGTTGTCCAAGAATAGGTCAATTGTAATCTCTCAGACTGATCCACCCAGGGCACACTCAAATCCCTCCTTCCTTTTCTTTTCTCTCTTTCTCTCGCTATTGCTCTGGTACCATGTTTTTTTAGAGAGAAAAGTTTTGTATATATTCAGTATGTTTTACATCTTGTACAAGTATATATAGGAAAGAGGGAAACACTATACAAGAAAAAAAGTCTAAACAAAACCCTACAATCTGCTCCTAACTTACAGCAATCATAATAATCAAATCCCTGAAATAAAGGAGCTAAATATGACAGCAACTATAAAAGGTCTAAGAGTGGAAGATCTGTTGTTTAGACAACTAATATTAGGCTAACATTAGCTGTAACAACTATCATCTTCCAACATTAGATACTCTCTTTCTCCTGTTAGATGTGAAGTTTTTCCTTTTACTAAATACCCTGATAATACTCGATAACAGTATTTCTATTTTGATCGTGGAGTTATTTGCCTTAATGTCATACAATGCTTTATCAAATTTGACAAGTTATCTTCTATTGCTCAAAACAGGCTTTCAAAAGTTCTAGTCAGGGACAACGTGCAAAAGTTTGGACTAAAAGGATTAAGCTTTGGCTCAAGGAACTTCCTTTTTTCAAGCAGTCATATATTTATAGTGACCAAATTTTTGATAACCTGTTGGGAGTTGACCAACTATCAGATATTGACCTTCCTATTTGGCTGGCAGCACAAAGGGCAGTAACTCGTTACGAAGGAATTCTCTCACCGGTTGGACCCCGTGGGAGGCTGTTAAGGAAGTTGTTTGTGTGGATTGGGCTTATTCCCCCTATGCCAGAACAGCCATTCAATCTTGAGTCTGATACTACTACTTCTGAACCTTACTTAAGGTTGGTGCTGCCTGAATCCCCTGCAGTGCCTTCTTCAGATACTTTTTCCTTGATGTTTGATGCGTCTCATTTTCTTTAGCAAAAGAAAATTTGTATAACAAATGCTGTTACAATGTTAAAATCTCGGCAATGGTAATAGCTTAGGTTGACAAGCATGAGAATGCAGTTTCGAGTCTTAGAGCAACCACTTTCTGCACTATTAAAGGTTAGGTTTGTCTCTAGTCTTTCCCTCCCAACACTTCCCTAGCATCCTGCGTAGGCAAGACATACTGGGTAATGCACTACATTACAGATTTTCTCGTAATTTTGTAATGCTGTCACGCAAATCATCGTTGTCGTCATCATCCTCGTCTTTATGAGGTTGGCAACATGAATTACAAGCCATGTCTCTTATTCTATTTAATTTTTTAATTTATTTTTTAGTTACTTATACCAAGTGAGTTTTGGCTGGTGTATTTGTTTTACCTTGTTAGTGAACAAATCTTCCTTTTTTATTTTTTATTTTTTTATTTTTGATAAGTAAAATGTATTAGAAGGCGTTCAAACGGGGAACGCGTCCCAAGAGCTATATAGAGGCCGAAGCCAGAGACAAGGTCCTTCCTTTTCTTACTGTGCATCTATGTGCCTACATTGTATATGACCATACCTCGTAAGTTCACTTTTTCTTATTTTATCACTAATAGGCATCACTCCTAATTTTTCCCTCACATGTTAATTATTATTATTATTTTTTATTTTGATAGGTTCCTCACACATTAATTATTAATCCTATCTCTCTTCCAGTCACTCCTATCATTTGTTTCATCATAAAGATTTGACATCTATTTTACATTCAGCTGTTTACTTGACACCAACCCATCTCTCTCCACATCCGGCCTTGGTACTGACAACGTGAGAGAAAAAATTATATAAGAGTGTGTTTGTCTGTAGTCAAACCTGGGTCTACTGCTTGGAAGGCAATTATCCTAACTGTTGGTCTAAAAACGCAATATTGTTCTCTCAGAAGAAGAAAACTACCTTTGTATTTTAAGCTCTTTGTGTTATCAAGTTGTGCAGTTGCCATTTTTAACATTTTAAGTACATCATCTTTATTTTGTTTAATCTTAGAATCGTAGTACCTTGGTTGTGCTTGTAAATTAGTTACAACTTTCATTATTTAGTTCACTTTAAAAGTGTGTAACACAGGTTCTGATATAAAGTGAAAGGTTAAAGGAAGGTACGGCACTCTAGGCTTTGAAACGTCAAGATTAAGCCCTAAACTAGACCTAAAGGGAGGATGAATAGGTCTTGCTATAAACTTTTATGTGACTTACAACAGAAATTTAAAATTGTTATAACTTCTTCTAGATTTTCCTGTCTCAAAATGAAATATGTACTCCTAATATATGAAATATTTCTAGTTGGGTTTTATCAAACTACCATTCATATGGAGTTTTTTTAGTGCCAGCCTGTATTTAGGGTGTGACAAATATTGTTCCCATTTAAAAGTGTTTTGCAAGATTACTAATTTACTACCATGATGAATAACACGTTAGGTCACTTATATAACCCCATTTTTTCTTTCTACCACCAGATTTTGCAAGGTGTCTTTGATGCAGAAGATTGATGCTTTATTCATGTTTGAACACAAATTCTTGATAAACTCATATTTGATGATCTCTTTTTCTACCACTCTTAATTCGAGTAATCAGATTTCATTTATTCATTCTGAATTCTCTGACAGATTGAACTTGCATCTTGAATTTTGTCTCAAGAGTGGCACTCTAGATTTTTTTCTCTCAAGAAACTTAACAACAAGAGTGAAACAAGTCAAGTGTAAGGCGGACAACAATCTTTATTCTAGTTGGTACAAAGGATGGAGAAAAAAAATACATATATAAACTTGCGAAGTAAGGAAGAGGAAAACTAGAGACTTTAATAATATGACTGCACCAAGAGTGAGGATCTAAGGATCTTAGTGACAAATGATGATATGAGAAAAAGGTGAAAAAGTTATATTAAGATGTCATTAAATGAAAATCATATAGGAAGCCTGGGTTTAGTAGAATAGGTAACCTTAGGGAAACTAGAGAAAACAAAAAAAAAAAAAAAATCACAGGGTCAGAGTTTGTGACATAAGATGAACACATAAAAGGTTTAGGATTAATTGGCCTTCTTATTGAGGTTTGGAAATGTTTATGGGAGAATTGTGTCTTGACTAGAAAAATAGTTTAAAAAGATAATAATAAAAAATGCTTGATGATTGTTGCGTAATTTTTTTTAGTACTTATATATAAAATAAGGAAGTGTTTAAAGTAGCACAATTTTCTACGACTTCAATTTGTATTTTTGTTAGGAAGGTCAAGAATGGGAGCTATTTTACTTGTCAAGGGGACCAACTGAAAGTTAGAGAGAGAAAGAACTATTTCTGTGTGATTTATTTAATTTTGGAGAACCCCTATGATTTGTTAGAGATATGATATGGTAGAATCTAGAAAACTAATGAGCGACAAATAGACATATAAAAACATGGTAAAAAAAAGAAAAGAAAGTATAGTAAAGTTGAGGCTAGGATCAAGAGATACCAAAAAGTGAACATTTCGTTCCTTAGGCTAGTTAGTCAAAATAAGTGAGAAATTGAAGATGATGTTAATTGCAGAATTAAAGCACAATATGTTAAATGTAGGAGTGCTGAATTGTGTGATTGATGTAAAACTCTCAGTCATAATGTATGGGATGGAATGTTGGTTGGCTGAAAGTCAACATACTATAAAATTAGCATGGCTAAAACATTAATTTTGATACGAATGTGCAGCAAGGCAGGAAAGGATAAAATAAATAATGAATGCATTTGTTAAATGATTAAAATATCATCCATTGGGGATCAAATGAGAGAAATTTGATTAAGATGGGTTGGCCATATGCAAAGATCAATAGATGCAACAATGAGGAAGAATGTCGTGGTCCACGTAGAGGGCAATGCTAGGGGAAGTGGAAGACCAAAACATAAATTAGTTGACCTGGTAACGAAGATATAGTTGTTGTCAGGGGCTTATTTGTTATTACTTATACAATGTTGGACGCTTATGTATAATTTCTGAAACTTGTTAGTATAAATAGAATGTGGTAGAAGGATGAAAGTATTCTTTCATTCTTTCTCTCTTTCCCCATTTTTCTCTCCTCCTCCTCTTTCTTCTCTTCTTCTTCATCTTCTTCTACTTTACTCTTGTTTTGATCATCTCTTAAAGTTAACATGGTATCAAAGCATGGTTTGTAAAGCCCTAGGGTGTGTAGTTGAAACATTAGGGCAAGTTTGTGTAAACCCTAGTGGGAGTGAATGTTTTTGAAGAGATGGGATTTCTTTGCAAGGAAGTAGTGTTAATCACATCCACACCTACTACAGATCAGTGGTTTTTTTTCCTGTTCGCGTGGTTTTGTAACGACGACTTTTCTTCGTTGTACGCAATTCTAGTATGGTCTATTTTGTTGCTTTCTAGGGTTTGTGTGGTCCTTTTTTATGCCTCTGAGAAGACAGTAATCTCTCTAGTTGCAGTTGTTTATGTGTTAGAGAGGTGGTTCTCACATTTTTTTGTTGTTTTGTTTCTGAGGAGTGTAACTGTTTGATAAAATGTCTCGCTCAAAGGTGACTTAAAAAGAAGCTGGGTCTTCTCCTAGTGTGACTCTGAGGCTCGGTGGGCGGGAGAAGGCCTGTGAGAGGCAAGGCTCTAGTGTGAGCTACGTGTGCTCACAATTCCCACATTGCCTGGGTGTGGAAGAGTGAAGTGCTATATATAGGTTCATCACCCCCCTATTATACAACGCGTTTTAAAGCCGTGATGGCCGTGAACCTATCAGAACTCCGGAGTTAAGCGTGCTTAACCTGGAATAGTACCAGGATGGGTGATTGATAAGTGTCGAATGTTTCACATTCAAGCCCTTTTATTTGCATATGTTAGCTCTCTAGTTAGATTTATTTTATGCTTTTATGTCGTTTTCTTGCTTTTTCTATTTTCAGGTAATTATCCTCAAAATCAAGTAAAGTTGGGAATTCTGGGCATTCAAATGATGCTTCTATTCAAGCCAATTCCCAATGAAGACTTCAAGTTACTTGGATTAAGACCATGGTCATTTTTGGGCCTAATTGAAGACAATAGTATTGGGCCAAAGCTCAATTCAAGCCCAAAAGCAAATTGGGCCATCCATCAAGCTACGACCGGTCGCCCTCTCACAACATATAAGCTGCGATCGGATGCCTTTGTTGACCTTAGAATTCAAAAAACAAAACAAAAAATTTTGGTTTTTGAGATCGGTCGCCTATGCAGCAGAGGCAACACCAAGTTGCGTGCACACACGTACGCAGGCAAAGACCAGGGCACCCTGCGACCGGTCGCCCATCAGCTGCGATCGGTCGTCCCCCTGCAGATTGCTTAGTTGGCAAAAGTTGTTGAAAAGCAAAACTTTTCCCTTGAATTGGGGATTTGCCGATTTGGTGTAGGCTGTTGGGGGACACGAAATTGGCTCCTTTGGACTACACAATTGGATATGTATGAGATATATCATCATCTTCAAGACACACATGGGAGGAGAGATATTTCTAGAGAGAGAAATATTAAGTTCTAGGTTTTGAAGAGCAACAATGGTGACTAGCTTGGAGATGGTGTTCCCTTCAACCATGGAGGCTTCTACCTTGTCTATGAGCAAATAACTTCTTCACTAGGGAGTTGATGTAGCCCTCTCCAAGTAACTATGGTTTGATTGTGTTTATATTTGGGGGAATTTATGTATATGTGTAGCAACTTGTATAACCTAGCTATTTACATTTGTACTACTCTTGTGATTGACTTTAATGCTTAAAATCATTCTTGATGAAACCTTTTTTCTTGTCTTAGAAAATATTTTATCTTGATTGAACTTCAATCATTCTTATATCGACAGTATCAAAGCCTAATTTCTCTTCCTAGGTTTAGACTCCTATTTTGGTGTTTTCCCCTAGCATCTAAAATGTTGCTAAGTGTTTCTTG